CATTATAGTGTGTGGGGCCCGCCCCCGCCCACATCGTCCCCCCCCCGGTGTGTTGGGGCCAGGGGGTATTTTTGGGGGGGGGAAGTCCCACTCTCCTAAAAGTGGCCAAGTTTGGACAACACTGCTCTAAACCTTTAAAGCCTTGTAAACCATCCTTGCTCTCTCTAATGTCCATATACCATTCCATACATCACCTTTTATACTTTAGCCTCTCAATCTGGGTATTTATTGCATAACTGTATTGCTATTTCTATGCTTTTTATCCAGTCATTAGATAGCTTCTCTCGTGTTCAATTGATTTTCGCAGAAGCGTCAGCAATTTCTAGGCACGGTTGCACAAACCGCAGAGCTTATTGTGTAAGAGGTACCTGCCCTCCCCATGGTAAGCTGTAACCTTTCCTCGTGGTCTGCCGCATGCTGCGTTGACGTCGGATGAGGATTTCCTTGGCCTGCTCTTCCCTTGTTTCTGGGGCAAGGTTGTATCTGTTGTACGATAGCGTCTGAAATGAGAAATGTATCACTCGATCTTCCTCACTGGCTTAACTCCCAAACAATGCATGTAAAATGGCCACCTTATAATAATATAGAAAATATGTGCCCTTCTCCAAGTGTGAATTCCACTGTAGCCAATGTGGCATGGTGTCTTTACAAGGAAGGGTGCTGGTTCTCTAATTTTGTCTTGGAGGAAATTCACACGTTAGCAAGAGTCTAAACACCCAGGAGAAAAAGGACACACTTGGGAGAGAGGCTAATTCCAGGAACGATTGACCATACCCAGGGAGTTTAGCATACCGGACAGGAGATAGGGAAAAACCAGAGGGGAGAGGAAATGAATGGACAATCTTGGAACATGGCTGTGTAAAACCCCAGTGAGAAACAAATGTTTGTGTGAGTGTGTATGAAAAATATTGCTGTTTTTACTTTACTCTGACTGCATCTCAGTAGTTACACAAATACTGCTTAAATTCAGAACTCATAAATAAAATTTTGCAGCCTTCTTAAATGGATGAAGCTTTTGTCTCTATTGTTAAGTTACGAGAATCATCACCATCATCATCAGGTCTGGCGGGTGAGGCCTGTTGCGTGTCCCATCAGCCAGGGAGTTTAGTCAGGTGGGACCTAGGAGGAAAGCCTTTTCTACCCTGGCCCCTGCCCTGTGGAGTATTATTCCCCTGAGGTGAGGTTGGCCCCAACCCTGTTCCAGAAGGCCCTTAAAACATGGTTCTGTCAGCTCCTTAGGAGCCCATGATAGAGTGGCGCCTGCTAGATGGCTGTCTGACAGTTAATTCAATGCACTGTCTGTATTTTTTTACCACCATTTTGTTTGTTTTTTTAAATGTGGCTTTTATCTTTGTAATTTAAAGATAAATTGTTTTCATGGGTTTTTCATGTATTTGATTGTTTTATTATTTACACCGACCAGAGTCACTATGTGAGATGAGCAGCTATACAAATGTGATTGATTGATTGATTGATTGATTGAATAAATAAATAAATAAATAAATAAATAAATAAATAAATAAATAAATAAATAAATAAATAAATAAATAAATAAATAAATAAATAAATAAATAAATAAATAAATAAATAAATAAATAAATAAATAAATAAATAAATAAATAAATAAATGCAGCATCGTCATTATCCATTAGTTTCATGTCCTGGGACATTTACTATCGCATGAGTTTAAGGCTGAGCCTATTTCTTCAGATGTTTGTTGTGATCTTGAAAGATGGGTGGGCAAAACCAGATCTTGGAAGACCTGGGCTGCAACGAATGGCTCCTCTGGGCAACCCAGTGCTCAAGCAAGTGTGGAAGCTACTACGCACGTAGTGAACAATAATAACGGTGTTCCTATAGGAATAGTTCTCCCTTTTTGCTGTCCATTTGCACAGGATACAGGATTACTGCAAAACTGGCAAAGTCAAGTTATGATATAAAAGAGTTCATGGCCCCTTACAGATTAACAGTGTTATTTAAACATAGAAGAATACAATCACTTCTACTCATCAAATACAACTTTTTCAGGAAGAAAATGACATAACCTCTCCCAAAAATTTGTGGAAGAGTTATATAGTTGCCTTTTCATTTTTTTCTTGCTCATCAGTGATTCTTACAGCTACTGCCAGTGCTGATTTGTACATACTTAAAACCAAGTTTTAAGTGTTGAAACTACCTGGCAATTCTGTTTTAATGCATATTAACAAAAACAATAATTAAGGAGTCATGTGTTACTTTAAAAGCTCATCAATGCATTATAGCTGAGTCTTTGGGGCTAATGCATGCTGTAAAACCCATGTTAGTCTTTAACGTGCAACCAGACCCAACCAGATTTTTTGCTGCCACAGCCTACCACCTAGAAACTAAACCAAATGACTCATTGAAGGGTTTAAAGTTAAGGGGCGCCTGCCACCTAGTGCTCATTTAAATTCTATTCCATTTTTTTGCTTTCCTCCTCTTTTTTCCTAACTCACTTGCCTGACGTAAAGGCCATCCATTAAAGTTCATTAAAAGATAACTCACAACTAAGAAAAGGAAGGACTTCTTTATCTAATCAATGAGAAGTGCTGCCATCAAACGCCATCATTTTTGCCATCAAAAAGGGCAGATTGAATCCATTCATGGAGTATCCAGCTATCAATGGCTACTAGTCCTGGTGGTTGTTTACTACTACTGAATTACAAGTAGCATATCTCAAGTACCAGCAGCATCAAGGAGATGTTGACCTCTGCTGGATCTAGGTGACCTCTCTGTAACACAGAGTGCTAGATTAGACAACCTTTTGCCCTGATCCTGCAAAGCAATTTTGATGTTCCTATATTCTTGAAACATGCACACTTTCACAACTTACTGTCATTTTTTATGATCGTAAGACAGTTTTGGGAAGGCAATTCTAACCTCTTTCCTTTTTGTGCAATGAGGTATGTTCTGCAGTGCAGGTATCAGTAACAGTGATATTACGACCATCCTACAAAGACCCACCAGAAGTGTTAGAACGAATTCATTAAAAAATTGACCTAATCTTTTGTTAATGTTATTCTGCGCTTCAGCTACAATAACTCACAGCTAGCACCACAGGCAATTCTGCCACTGCTGACTTTTGCTAAGGTTTGAAGTAGTTCAAACATGACCTTTTGTTATGTAACTATGGAACATGTTATCAGAATTAAAAGCACACACCCTTTGCCTCACTTGATACAAATTATGTGCCAGCATATTCTGCATGGATTCCACATCTTTAGGAGAAAGTTTCTGGGTTCTTTGATTCCTGTACCTCCTGCAAACAGATGTGAAGACAAACATGATTTTGACTCAGCTGAAAGTCCACCAATTATTTCACCACAGTAGTTTCGCATACATTCTATTATCAGTGATTGTTAAGCTGTGAGTAAGTTGCCTTGCTAACAAAGGATGGCAAGAAGTCATTTGTAAATCAGTGGAACAAACTGCTTAACTTCTTTGCAAGCTGCATATGTAAATATATGAGTATTACTATTGGTTACAGCAATCTTCGGAGTAAAAAATAATCACTTTTAAAGAAATGTGAAGTGTGAAGAAGAAATTCATATAAAATCCACATATTAATGCCTGTCGATCACACAAAAAATGTTTCTTTCTTGAAGTGTAGATGTCAACATATTAGAATTACTAAATCTTGAACTACTTTAAAATGCAGTCGGTTTAACTGGTGAATCAACCTGAGGGATCAGTGGTGCAAATAATAAAAAAAAAACCTTAAATTCAATTTTTAAAAAATCTACAATGAATTAATAGAATTTAAATTATATCACCAGATATCCTGGACATTATAAGCAAATACAAACAAAATATTTCATAGTTCTTCTAGATCCAAGATTCTCAACCAATGCTACTTATACCACAAAATGTAATCTTGAAGTAGTCTAGTCGGGAAATAAAGTAACTCACTGAAACTTTGATTTTTTAAAATCTATATAATAACAGAATGCCTCTAAACAGATATTTTTATTACTATCATGGCAGGACCCAGTTTCTTAGAGCAATTTGGTTGGACTTAAGATATAACTGGTTGACAACCAAAGTTCTAGATAGTGTTCAGGTTCTTTTTTTTTCCCCCAGAAAAACAAACTAGTCTTGTTATCTCAAACCTACCATTTCATATGCTAAAGAATAAAGAATAAAAAACTCTTTTTTTTTTTTTTTTTTAAACAGGGCCAGCCCTACCACTAAGCAGAGATGCAGAGATATTGGAGAACATAGAGAAGCAGCGAGATACTAGATAGCAGCATGAGTTAGCCTGTACCAGGGTTTCTCAACCTCGGCAACTTTAAGACGTGTGGACTTCAACTCCCAGAATTCCCCAG